GTAAAAATAAGAAGACTTGAATGTGAAGTAGAACCTGTATTCTACAAGCATCCAGAAAGTACGAGGTCCGAGTTCAGAAGAGAATCAGGATCCCCGACTAGGGATCCGGGACCAGGTCCTGGTCATAAAATGTTACAGATAATTCGTATTTATACATTTTGGTCGAATAAGAAACAGCATCGAATTCTGTGATACTGACAGTTAAGATGACCAATAAGAAGCAACGTTTGAAGTACATGACCTTGAAATCTAGGACGACCAATAAAACTGACCAGTAGGAATTAACCAATAATAATTCTCTTAGGTTATTAAATGAATATCCTAACATGAACTAATTTGAATCACTTCGTGATTTTAATTAAAACTTTTCACAATCTCTAGATGATAATTGTTTCATTATTATTTGAGTGTTTTTTGTTTTGTTTTAATGCATAAATTTCAATTTTAAAAAACACATAGTAATTGTTTCAATTTGTCAGATTTTTTTTAGTTATTTTTTGTTTCATGAAAAAAACATTTTCAAATGAAAATGTAGTTGGCGTTTTTATTTTGTTCTATTTTTCTCGACTAAGCCTCCTCCCTGGTTAATCAGGTTCTTATTGTGCAAAAGTTAAATAATATGCACTTACCTGTACACGCACACACACACATACACATACACAAACGAGTCTTATCCAATACACATCATAATTAGCTAATAAGTTAAGATGTGAGAGTGAGAGAGAGAGTGAGTGAGTGAGTAAGTAAGTGAAGGTAATCTATTCTAGAGTAACTAGATATAATGCACAGACGAATGAGAAAATTAGAAAAAAAAAGTACTCTAAATGAGACAAATGAAAATCATATCTCTCTCTATCACAGATAATTTCGATACATGTGATTTCACAATGATCAATGATTGAATCCATTGTGTGTGTGAGTACTATGCTGGTGTTTTAAATTATCATGGTGTTGTGGAGATCCATTGTTTTGATGATGCACAATGAAATTGTGAATCAGTCATTGTGAGACTATCAGATTATAGAAACAGTGAAAGCCATTGTTTCATGGTATGAGCAGTGAGCATCGACAACTTCTACTAGTAGCGTCATTCAAACTTAGAAGCTTCAGTTTGTTGCGTGCAAACGCTTAATATCTGTGTAGTGAACGAGAACATAGGTGGGGCAACCGAATTGTATTTAACGAAAATTACAGAGTTACTCAGTAAAATCGGAACAACATATCGTAAATCGTTCATTTGCAAAATATCAGTTCATCATATCGAACTGGAGGACTGTTCCTGTTGCAAAACATCAATCCATTGTCACTCACTATTCATGCGTTTCATACAAATTCCATTGTTTTCTAACTCTTCCTTTCTCTTGATCTTCCCCCATCTTCTGCTGCCAGACATTATGTTGACACTCACGTCATATACTACTTATAAGTAGCTCACATCACATCTGGACCATTGAGCTGGCATCCAACGGTGTTATTGTTCAACTCTGGTCAATGTAAAGATTCTGCGCAACCGCACACTTTGTTTTTCGTAGTTAAGACCTACACTCTACAGGGTTGAACTATACTGATCGCATCTTCTAACTAGCACTCCGAGAATATCCCTACAAAGCTAGTCACTAGTGAGCACGTTTTTGATATTGCATAATAGTATTGTGGAGACCACTGTTCTGATGATACACAATGAAGTCGTGAATGAATCATTGTTAGACCATCAGATTAAAAACCTGGAAGCATTGAAAGAAGGCCGTTTCGTCCTGGTATGCGACTACTTGTCAGTAGCAGCGCGCATCTACGACGCCTGCTACTCACACAGGATTCGAACCCAGTACCTTGGGTCTTGCGCGCGAAAGCTTAGCCTCTGGACCGTAATTCAGCAGTGTCGATGTTTAACTCTGTTAGTGGGGCACAGATGGAATTGAAGCATGACTACGTTGCTGCGCGCTGATTGGCTAGTTTCCTATCCAATCAGCGCCTGATCGATTCTTGGAGAACACAGCAGAAAATTCTCGTATTGTTAGCTGCATGCTGATTGGCTAAATCTAATTCAGTTGATCACGTGAATTTCTATCCAGAAGCTTCTCATATAAATGCTATAAATAAACTAACGTTGTATCTATTTTTGCCTTTGGCTTCAAATTCGTATCTCCATTTAACCTTGCTATTTGGAATATAATATTTTCCTGTTCCACCGTGTTCTGGATTCTTTGGAACTTGTCTAGTGTATTGTGTGGTCAGAGAATACTAAACAATAGGATTTAGCTGGGAATTATTTAAGCAAGCCACTACAACAAACTCTGATCAACCTAAGCGTTTTGTGGTACCTAACTCGACAGGTTCGAACCACACTGATCGCATCTTCTCAATAGAACTCAGAATTTTCTAGCGAAGCTAGTCACTAATTAGAACATTTTTTGATTTCGCATCGTAGTATTCTGGAGATCATTGTTTTTAGACACATTGAAATCATGAATGAAACATTCTTAGACCACCACTTTAGAAAACTGGAAGCACCAGGATGAAACAGCCATCTAGTACTCCCAAGTTTCTGATGGTGTTCTAACAATTATTCTTACTGAACTATACTTCTTGAATGATATCTTCGATCCATAATATTTTCGATTACCGCTAATACTTCTACTATCTCCAAGCACTATAGGATTTGAACTGACAATCGCGTTCTGTGTGCTAATGCGGTATGGCAAACTGAATTGATGTGCGTACGTACGTAAGTACGTACGAAGTGCTACGTTGTAACTGAATGACTGTAAGTTATCATAACTGTGTCATTTAAAATAATTGTTCTTCTGTGAAGGGGGAACTAATAATTCTGTCTATTTTTTATATATTTTGATGGTTTTTTCTCGACAATTCACATCGATTGAGACGTTTTTATCAAAATGATAGAGTTCATTGTACTGGTTGTTTTGTGTTAAAAAGTAATTTCACAGCAGTGTACAATAATGGCACCACTAGGGGTCAGATCCAGGCGCTTCAGCACTCGTGGTTAATTATGAAAGCAATTACTGGAAGTTCTAGTGAAAAGCCGAAATAATTAAGATTTAATTATGTTAGATGTGAGACAGTTGTACAACTAAACTGTTTCAATTGGGTTTTGAATAATACTGATTCCTCGTTATACTGCCGTTTTACAAATGTGTAATATACATACTGATATGTTGAGCCCACATGACTTGTCCTGGCTTATGGGTAAACTAATGAATCTTTTCTGCTCAAGTGATTAATCACTTGTCTATCGGACTTGCCAATCATACGCTTAAAATCTTGGTTTATTTGAATAACGTTACTCCGTTCATCCCATGTCCAGCTTATTTTTATCTGACTATAAATGTCATGCCTCATCTGATTGAATTGTCTTACTCATCTTCTCTACTTTGCTTCACTTTGCTCTTTGAGTTACTATTCTCATGTGTCTGTCCGAACGATCGATTACATGAAATAAACTCATCCAACGTGAATCTATGTTTGGATACTAATCAGCGCCGTTGCACAAACGGGTTAGCCTTAGTATACTATGCAGAAATTGAACGAGAGAAGATTTATTTCATACCACACTGAATTGTTCCTACAAATTGGGGACAACCGAGTAAGCAATGCTGTCGTTAGGAAACGGGTGCACGGTAATGATGGCAGATCAATGGATGAATTGGTGAAAGAAACTTCATCAGTTGAGATGGTTGAGACATGTGTTACGTATGCCTAACCACCGACTGCATCGACGAGCTATGTTTTGTGGCGTGGGAGTAGGTTGGACGAAAGTTAGGGGTGGCCAGACCAAAACATGGCAGAAATCTATGAAGTCACTGGCAAGTGGACTGAGTCATGTTGGTATATGTAGACTACCTGGTTGGGGTCCGCGAGACGAAAATCACCAATGGTTAGGGACCTTGAACGACATGGTTCAGAATCGTTTGCAATGGCGCAAGTGCATCCATTCTTTGAGCTCTCTCAAATCCTAATCTTCTGGAAACGTCAGCACCTCTAGTGAATTATACTTCTTGAATAATATCTTCAAACCGTAGTCTTCTTCATTACCATTAATACCTCTACTATCTTTTTCACTATGGGATTTGATTTGACATTTGCGTCTGTGTGCTAATGTGGTATGACAACATGAATTTATGTACATACGTACGTAGTTCTAAGTTGCAACTGACTGACTCCTACAAATTGGAATCGAACAGCAGGTCATTTGACCTCTATACATATGAGATGAAAAACGTGATAAACTTATCTTTTTAATGATAAATTACAGTTATAATTTAGCACTAGTTTACTTAAACGTTAGTTCAAACAGACGCGATCTCTCTTCAACTGATATAATTGATTGAATAAATATATTATTCATCATAAACCTATACTGATTGATATTTATTAGCATTACGGGGTTGTGAAGATTGTTAAGTTACAAGTTTTTGAAAGCATGAATCGATCAACGTTATATCAACACCATTAGAAACCTGGAAACACTGGACGGCCATTTCCTCCTGGTATGCGACTCTTCAGCAGTACGCATCCATGACTCCTGCACCCCGCAGGATTCGAACCCAGGACCTTCGATATTGTGCGCGAACGCTTCAACCGTAATACCACTGAGCCGATTCCGAGCTATGTTAATGTCTAAGTTGATCAGTTCACGGAGTTGCACAACCTCATACACAGTCTTCAGTAGTAGTTACTGTCTACACTCGAACAGGTTGAACTTCACTGGTCACGACGTCCTCCCACTAGAACTCGGAGAAGATTCCTCACGAAGCTAGTCACTAGTGAGCACAGGTAATTTGCATTACGGGGTTGTTGTGGAGATTGTTAAGTTACACATTTTTGAAGGCATGAATCGATCAATGTTATAGATATTTATTTCATGATTCAATTTTTCAATAGATATTTATTTTCAATGATCAATTATTGATATATCTATTTGTAAAAATAATAACATTCATCCGGTTATTTCTTGTTTTCGTCTCCTCCTTACTCCACAGCCGATGAACTGATCACATTTGTTGCACAAATCACTAAAAATTTACAAACAGTAGACAAAAAGACCAAATCATCTCTAAGTCATCATCAACAATTAGGCACAAACAACACTGACCTTGATGATGCGGATGATGGTATGAAGTTGATGCATATGGCAATGATCGATGATCCAACCACATCCAATACAACAATGCATACATCATTTTATTTGAAAGCTACCAATGATATTGATCAAGTGACGCATATTTCATCAGGTAAATTAACAATAAAAACAAAAGCGCAATCAGTTGATCTTTGGTTCAGTATTCAATATATATATATATATATATATATATATATATATATATATTACTTAGTTACTTACCTAATTACGCCTGTAGCCTACCAATGGAGCATAGGCAGCCCACCAATTTTCTCCAACCAACTCTATCCTGGGCTTCCCTCTCCAGTTCTGTCCAATGTTTGTTCATTCCTCTCATACCTTTCTCTATTTCTCAGCGTATAATGTGTTCCTTGGACTTCCTCTTTTGCTTTTGCCTTGAGGGTTCCATGTGAGGGCTTGTCTTGTGATGCAGTTGTTTGCTTTTCGTAGTGCGTGTCCTATCCACCAACTCCACCACTTCTTCCTGATTTCCTCATCCACTGGAATCTGGTTTGTTCTCTCCCATAGTACGTTGTTGATGATAGTGTCTGGCCAACGAATGAGAAGTATTTTGCGTAGACAACTGTTCATAAACACTTGTATCTTCTGGATGATGGCTTTCGTAGTTCTCCGAGTTTCCGCCTCATACAGTAAAACTATCTTGACATTTGTATTGAAAGTCATGATTTTGGATTTGGTTGAAAGTTGTTTGAAGTTCCAGATATTTTTCAATTGTAAAAATGCATCCCTTGCTTTGCCAATCCGCGCCCTCACATCTACATCCGATCCACCTTGATTGTCGATGATGCTGCCCAGATATGTAAAGGTGTTAACGTCCTCCAAGGCATCTCCATCAAGAGTGATTTGGTTGGTGCATGTTGTGTTGTATCGGAGAATTTTGCTTTTTCCTATATGTATGTTGATACCTGCTGTTTCTGCAGAGGCTGCTGCTACACTGGTCGCCTTCTCTTGCATTTGTTGTTGCGTGTGAGATAGAAGAGCCAGGTCATCTGCTAAGTCCAGATCGTCCAGCTGCGTTCTAACTACATATATATATATATATATATATATATATATATATATATATATATATGAATCTATATGAATTCACATGATATTTCACACATTTATCCGAATTGTCCTTGTAGTAATATCAATTTTAGTAGTATGTACTTATGTATATCTGTATATTTGCTATGATTGAAGAGAAGTAATTATTAAGTAGTATGATGATATGATGCAATGAAATGTCAATGTGCTATTGATCAAACTCTGTTTTGGCATATGTGCATCCTGTGCGGATTGTCTGGATATTATTGCTCAGTTGATGGATAGTAGCTAACAGTGGAATCCAGGATATGCGTTTCATTCTATTTGAGATTCTTCAACTGGATGTTATCGTATCTTAGAGGTGGTGTTCACGTCAAGGTAAGATCGAGGCATTCAGACTAGGATGCATAAATGCCGAAGAGACTGATCCAACAGCAGTCATAAACGTCAATGGGGAGATTCAAGACAACCAATACAAATGAATTAATCTTCCTTCGGTTACACAAGTCAGTGGGTGGCCAAACTCAGTGAATGATACATAAGTGTTTGAAGCGAACGTTACTAGGTTCAAATCCTAGGATTGAAAATCAACTCTGACATGATATGGCAGGTACATTTCAGCCAACTGACTCTCAAATAAGACGTCATGCATGTCCTAGATTCTACTTCTGTGTACGATACTAACAATAATAGCATTCGCTTTATTCGACACTAGATGTGTGATGGCGCGTCGAGTCGAGATTATCTATGATCACTACTACAGAACAAGTATGTGCCCATCACAGAGGAGATACATAAATCCATGCAAGAGAATAAATATATTTGCTGGCCAGTTCGTAGCATCGAAAGAATACCGGAATCGTACCAGAAAAGAGGGCCAAAAATTACACAGAAGGACACAGTGGAGACAAAATGGCAGTAACGCATACAGATTAGTAATTGTTACACATGCATGTAAACACGTCAATTTGATATGCTTGAGCTATTACGAGTTTACCTTAGTCAGAAAACGAGAGCGAGGATCGAGGATCCGGCGATACGACAAGCTACTCTATTTCGACTGTCCCAATCCCCCCACTTAAGTAAAAGACGAATACCTGATATGAAGTAGAACCTGTATTCTACAAGCATCCAGAAAGTACGAGGTCCGAGTCCAGAAGAGAATCAGGATCCCGGACTAGACATCCGGGTTCGAGTGATAAAGTGCTACGGATAATGCGTATCTATACATTTTGGTCGAATAGGAAACAACATCGAAGTCTGTGACATTGATAGCTAGGACGACCATAATATTAACCAATAGGAATCGACCAATAGAATTTGACTTACAAAAATAATTCTCTAAGGATATTTGATGAATATCCTTACAGTAATAACCAGAGAGGTTCAGTAAAACAATCACTGGTACAATCAGTTTAAAATAATGAATGTTTCTATTAAACCAATCGGATTCTCTTCATAAAATTGTCGTCACTACACATGTATGAATCAAGTAAAAAGTTCTCCACACTAAATATCTCGTATTGAAATTAAATTAAATTTTATTAGAATTTAATTTGTGCATATTTTTTGATCAGAAAAACTTTTATCAAAACAATTTATGTAACCAATTTTTTTATGAAGTCCTGTTAGTGTATGACACATCTTTTTATCGCATGAATGACCTTGAAAAGTCCAATGAAATAGGTTTTTTTTAAACAGACAAACAAACGAAAAGAATCCATTGAATCATTGAACGAAATAGGAATGTTTGGATGAAAAATATTCCTGCTTGTAACTTTATTTTAGACTAGAACTTTACAATTTATATTACGTAATGAGCAGACAGTAATACCAATGAAATAACGTGTAGAAATGAGGTATGAAGGATTTTTCACTTGACTAGTATAAGAGAGCTAACGAATATGAACGAGTTCAGTTCACTTCACTGCATTGACCCTCCGATATGAATATCTAGTTATCTAAATTATACTTTGAAACTGTACTTTGGAAGCATGCATCGGTCAATGTTAGACCGCCATCGCAATCCTGGAAGCACTGAAAGACGGCCGTCTCATCCTGGTATGGTACTTATCAGCAGTGCGCATCCATGGTAGTAACTGCTGAAGACAAATGGGTGAGTTCGCGCAAAACCCCTAGATTTATCAGAGTTAGACGATAACACCGTTTAATGCTGTCTTAGTGGTCGAGATGTTAGGTGAGATGGAAGGTCCTGGGTTAAAGTCCTGCCGGTAGCAGGTGTTGTGTATGCGTAATGCTGATGAATCTCACACCAGAACGAAATGGCTTTTTTATGGTGGTCTAACAATGATTGATTCATGATTTCAGTAATTAAATAAAGTAGTCGTTCAGTGGTTTGATGGCTATCTAACATAAATCACTTAATGATCTGACTAACATTGAACATGATCTAAAAATCTCCTATACAGATCATAAATAAAAAATATTTTGTGTTTTTTTCCCAAATTTTGGGAATATTATTCGTTGATTGGCGGTGTGATTGAATATTTGAGCTACCTATTTTCCTAACATTAAAATATTTGAACAAGTTACATCTTTTCGTTTGTTTAACCATAATAATTATGTCTAATAACAAGCATGGATTATTCAGACATGTTTATAAAATGTTTAATGTGCTGTCCATTCACAAAGTAAAACAAACGTACTGTCTAAGATATCGATATGGGTGGCGGTCTGCTGAAAAAGCGGACGAAAGTCAATAAGATGTTGATTCTTGAACTGCTTACTTTCAACTGCCACTTACAAATTGTTTTGTATAGGAAACATGTTGGAATTTTACTTGCGGAGCACTCCGTATTGTACTAAACATATGTTACTGAGTGAAGGCTTTATTACTTTTTTATTGAAGAGTTACGGAGATTGTTGTTTATGATCGAAATCATGAACCGATGATCGTTAGACTACAATTAGAAACCTGGAAGCACTAGATAGCCGTTTCGTCCTAGTACAGTTGTGGTGTGAGCTACTTATAAGTAGTATATGACGTGAGTGTCAACGTAAGGTCTGGCAGCTGGAGATGGGGGAAGATCAAGAAAGGAAGAGTTAGAAAACAATGGAATTTGTATGAAACGCATGAATAGTGACAATGGATTGTTGATGTTTTGCAACAGGAACAGTCCAGTTCGATATGATGAACTGATATTTTGCAAATGAACGATTTACGATATGGTTTTCCTATTTTACTGAGTAACTCTGTAATTCTCGTTAAATACAATTCGGTTGCCCCACCTATGTTCTCATTCACTAGACAGTAACCATCAGTAGAGCGCATCCACAACCTCCGCTCGCAGGAGTCGAACTCAGGAACTTCGGCCCCGCGTTCGAATGCTTAACCTTCAAACCACTTAATCGTCATCCAATGGTCTTATTGCCTATCTGTGACCACTGTAAGTTTTTGTGCAAGATTACCCGTTCTCTTTGTTACCTACGACTTAGGTCGCGCAAAACCTCCCAGTGATTCAAGTTAGTCATTACCACGATTAAGTGATCCCATGCGAGACTAAATGTCCTGCGTTCGACCCATGTGATCGGTAGGAATTGTGAATGCACACTGCCACTGATGAGTCTTATACTAGGTCGAAACATCTATCCTATGCTTTCAGATTACGAATTATAATCTAACATTGATCGATTCATGATTTTGATAAGCTACATATATCATTTCCAAATATCTATCTTTTCTTTGAATTTTTATGAAATAGTGATTAAAGTTTCAATTTCTAGTTCTGCCATTGTATGCATACATATAGGTTGGGACATGTGTTACGTATGCCTAACCACCGACTGCCTCGACGAGCTTTGTTGGAAGAAAGCTAAGAGGGCGGCCAAACCAAGACATGGTATAATTCCATGAAGTCGCTGACAAGTGGACTTAGCCATGTCAGTAGTTGTCGACTACCTGGTTGGGGTCCGCGAGATGTTCGTATTCGATGGTTAGACACCTTGAATGACATGGTTCAAAACCGTTTGCAATGGTGCCGGTTTATTTATTCTTTGTGTTCTCTCAAATCCTAATCTTCTGGGTTCTTCAACCCCTCTAGG